ACTGAAATTCAGTTTACCTCCTGAAAAGAAGGTGAAATTCAAAGAACTGAAATTCTTCACCTCCCCTGTTCAGGCAATACATACAACCAAGAGCAGGGCAGAGAGCCAAGCAGGTAACACGGCTTCAACATCAAGTGAAATCCAACCTGTCTTTCCCGGGTGGAGGAAGCCCAGCTGGGATAAATGCCCCAACCCATCTCTTCTCCAAAGCAGGAGCTGAGAAGTGGGTTAGATCCTGCTGCCAGCAGAGCTGCACTGGGTGAGGTCTCCTGCTCAGAGCTGACAAATGACTGGAGTGATCAGAAAACATACACGTTGCTTCTCCCAAGAGTTGACTGCAATCAATGACCACCCAGAGGAAGGTGATGGGCAGCCAGGACGAGTGGGAGGCAGTAGGACGCGGTAGATGCAGAACCTCACAGCCAGCCTTGGTCTTGCTGAACGCAGCTCCAAAGTCACCCTTGTTTGTATCTGTGTCGTTGTGTCACCTTTTCCTCACACACACCATATATTTTTCCCTGAGATGGTAAATTTTTTTCCCCTCTTCCATCCTTAACAACCAATACAACATACAGAAGGAAAGGTGAAAAAAGTTAAATCGAAATGGGAAAGCTTAAAGGTTTTAAAAACTGTTTTATGTAAGTACTTAATGGAAACTGGCACAAATGTGTCACTATCTGCTCTGAGATACCAGAGCAGATGTGACAGAGTGGAAAAGCCTCTTCCCTGCCAAAGCATTCGCTGGAGATTTGATAACAAGGTGCCGTTGTACAACAGCGGGTAAAGGTTCAGAGTAGAAAGGGGAAATGGAGAGGGCATCCAGGCCTTCTGTGTTCCTCCATGAAACTCATGCCCCAGACAGCAGGTAGAGCTGAATTAGATTCAGTGGGAAGGCAGCTAGTGCTTCTGCACCCTTCTCCTTGTGTGCAAACTGTGACAACCTGTCTTATCCCTTCGGTTCTGCTAGGGTGCTGTAAGCTCCTACCAGCTTTCTATGGATTTCTGGGGAGAGCATTAAATTCAGCACTCCAAATGCACATTTAAAATCTGAACCAATATGTGAAACTTAAGTATAAGAGATCCAGTTCCTAATACTCGTACTGACAAACTTTCAAGGATTCCTTTGAATTTCATTCCTCCATGTCATACTTCCCCCTAGATAGTGTGTGTTTTCCAAATACTGAGTGTTTTGCAAAGACAGTTGAGCTGGAATAGCAGATATTGAATATGATTTGAAATTGCATGATTTCATTATAAATCCTACAGACACTAGAAAGCAAGCCATGCCCCACCCTCAAAAGATGCTCTACTTGTTTTGATTCTGAAATGAGAAGCAGCTGGGTTTCTGTAGCCAAGGAAGGATGGGGAAGTTTGGGCTGCATTCTTGTGTTCTCAAAACTTTTTGTCCCCTACCAAAGAAAACTCACCAAAAATTTTATTCAATAGACACAGAAAATGCATCAAGGCAATAACTGCATCTTTAGCCTGACACGGTAACATGTCTCCTGCATAATCCCCCTAAGTAGTCTTCAAATTCAAAACACAGTCCCAGTAAAAATCAGTCTAATTGTTTGAAGGATGTATCTGAAGTCACACTATCTTAAAAAAACAAACTTAAACAGCAATTTATCTTAATGGCCTTTACTAAGCATATATGAGTAGACAGGTTTGATCAGATAAGAGAAATATTTTAACCATCCCAATGACAGCTCAGTTCCTTTCTCCACTATCAACTGTTATTTCATGTGAAGGTCTAAAAAGATACCCAGCACCTTGAAGTTCCCTTTAACTGTCCGTATGCTTTTATTTTGCACTGTGTTCAGACTTGCCTTCCCAGAAGCCTCCTCAGTGGCGCCCATGGGTGCACATGGCCACTTCCATTTATCGCAGCCAGCCCACATCCCGCTGCCTGAGTCAGTGCAGCCAGGGAGCTGCTCTCCTCCTCTGCCCTTTCCCCTCCCTTTCCCCTTTCCAAACAGCATTGCTTTTAGCTCATTTATCTGCCTATTGGGGTGATATGTAATCAGAGCAGGAATCCTGATGGGAAATACAAAGTGATTCTGTAGAGCTTTGAAAACCATTCCAGGCACTGATGAAGCGAGCGTTACAGCTGCCCCTTTCCTTTGCATGGCCTGAGTCTGTCAGCACCAGACACCCTGGAAGAGCCTCCAGGATGTTCACAGCCCCATCTTGCTTTAGTAAAATCGGGTGCTATTTATGCCAGCACGTGACACTCAACTTGATGTGAAGGAGAGGACACAGACTGATTTATCCACCCCCAGTCCAGGGGTCTCTGGTCTTTCTATAGCACAAGAGAGTGAAAATCCCCATCCATTGACTTTGGAAAGGCAGAACCTGCCCTGTGGTTAGAGCCAGCACTAAACCAAAATAATCAACGCTTTCACTCAAGGATCTATAGTCCCAACACTGCCAAAAGACTGAACAAATATTCACTCCTTCACTATGAAAAGTGGAGCCACTCCCTAAGTACACCTGCACAGTAATGCTGAGATCAGGCTCACCACAGGTCTGTGCTCTGCAAGCCTTCACCTGCTGTCATCAGAGAGCCGTCCCCCTGGAACAACCGAGACAAGGGATGAGAAAAGGTCCTGCTATAAATCTTCCCACAAAATTCTTGTTTAATTAAATGGTTTTCTATATCTGCTTATATGTCCTCCTAGGACAATCTAATCCTGTTATTGATCGTCTTCCTTTACAATAAGGAGAATAAAAGTAATAATTTCTTCCTGAGTTTAGATTCTGAAAATACTTTTTTGCATGCAAAGGAGGCCAAGTAACTGGGTAACATGGAGATCTCCTAACGTGAAGGTGGATGAAATGCTGCAGAATTCAAGTCTGCCCCAAAAAACAGCTGGTAGAAGTGCAAATACAAATGGTAAAGAGGGAGAAATTAAAGCAATCAGTGGGCTGATTCACGAATGCCTACAGCAGAGCAGGCAACTGTAAACAGATCCCAGCACACAGAGAGAAAAGAAGGAACCCAGCACAAAAGCCATTCTGCTTTGCTGGCTGAAGTGAGCCTGTCACCATCTGCTCCAAATCAGGACAGTATTAACCAGGTCAGTCCAGCAGATGCCAATGTCAGTGTCCTCCAAGATACAGCATTTTTGTGGTCAGTTTCAGAAATAAGTTTGCTTTAAAAAAAACCACAAAACAACACACCCTTCATTCTGGGTAACAGGGTGGAAACTGATAGGAAGAGCCACAAGAGAGACAAGCAGTGTCTCTGTGCCTCTTTCAGCTGTACTGAAAGACGGATTATTTTGGATCGGTGTTACCACTTGCATGCAGGCTAACTAATGGAATCACAAACCTGTAACAGCACCAGCGTGCTGAGAGTCCACACACACACTCATTCTCTGCAGGGATACTCACTCTTGAAAATGCAGCTATGGAAGCAAGACAGTGTCAGAGCTGTGATTTAGATTTTTACTTTAGCGTGCTTACTCCAGCCCCTCCTACTTGGTGCAAAGTTAGTAAGGAAAAAGACTTGGAAAGCCAAAAAACTACACATAACTCCTTACTGATTCAACTGCTAGAAGCATTTTCCTGCCAAACAGAACCCTCAAATATGCTCCCACTCATACAAGGCATTAATTCAAGTTCAGTATTTGCAAGGGCTGTAAAAGGTTTTTCACACACCTACTCCAAAAAGAAGTGGAATCCTAGGAATGAGCATGCCAATTCAAGAGAGTCAACAAGTTTTGCAACAGCTAGCTAGCATAATGCGTTATGTAAAATAAAAAAAAAAAAAAAGGCAGATTCCTTTAACTGTTTAACTTAAACGGAAGCATTTATCAAAGCCGTATTTCAGTGAATGTACTGAAAGCATTGTGAACCAGCACAAGAACTATTTTTGCAGTTATTTCTCTCAGAAGGCAGAAATAACCAAGTGACTTCACTTTACAGAGCTGGTCACTCAAAGAGAAGGATCTGTTTACACTTACACTGAACATTAAGGAAATGTTTTCCCAACTAAAAATGGCATTGAAGTTTTCAGATGAGCTATTCTGGGGCGCTGGGGGATGGATCCTTTGCTCCAAACTTTCAGGACTTACAAAAGTTGCATCATTCACAGTTTTTATTTCAGGGCTTACAATTATACTAGTGTGCCCACCCCATATTTCAGCATCAGACAAAACAGCACTGATAATCTGGTAGGATTCAGGGGAAAAAATGCAAAGTGAAACTTACCTTTCCGTGGACACTGCTAATATTTGCCTTTCTTGTTTTTCCAGAATTCAAGTAACAAAACTGTACATACAACCCTGCAAATCCAAATGCATTGTAGGAGAACACATGGAGAGGAATCATTCCTGTGCTTTGACCATGTGCCAAGAAATTGCGCTAGGACACAGGAGCAATCTCCTACAATCAACATATACAGAACGTTCACCACAGATAATACAGATAGGTTTCTCAGATTAGCAACTACGGTACTGAAAAGAAATGCATTTTGCTCAGAAAGAACACACACGCTTCATGTAGGTTCTTTATTAAAAAAAAAAAAGTTACAAATCAGAAAAACTTGAGTGGAATTAAGGTAGCAAAGTATTTTATAAAAATAATTTTCCAAAGCATGTATGCTGCAAGAGCCTGACCCAATCCTCTCTCACAAGGTAAACTTTGTTTACAAGATTTAAATCACAATAGCCAGTTCTACTTCATGAAATGGGCTTCTCTGAAGCCTGAATTGACAGCCTGTGACATAAGTTTAATATCATCTCATTTATTACAATAACTTTTTTTCAGAAATGAGTAACCTGTTTTTTTTCCCCAGCATTACACACCTGGGCATCTCCATAAACTGAGGAAAATTAAGAATAGGGAAAAAGGAGCAAGATAAAAATAACCTGAAATATGTATTTGCAAAAGAAGTTATTAAGTTATGGGAAAAATAAGTAGTTGATAAATGAGGAAGCAAGGTGCCTTTTTTTCCCCCCTCTCAGCCTTCTCAGGAGAATGGCAGCTTAGTCCTCCCTAAAGAAAGCTCCATGGAAAAAGGAGTTGAATAAAACTCACAGCAACTCCGAATTCCAACTCCAGCCTACCTCCTTTGAAATATACAATCTTTCTTATAGTTATTTATGCCTACTGCCCTCAGCCATCCAGTCTCTAAAATGCTTCTCCATCAAGCTTCTGGCTTTCCAGTCACCAGCATTTACAGTGGGGATGATCTTCTGTGGCTTCAACCATTGAACAAAACGCTTCATTTCCAGGTAACTGCTGTGTTCACTGTAAGGAATCCCTGAAAGGAAACAAATCACAGTGACCTGTCAGTCTACTTAGCTTCCTGCCAAAATACTTTTGCAAGCCTTCCAGCTAAGAAATACTTTAGATAATACTTTTTAAAATTCATATTGGAGATCTAAAATATGCAGACAAGGTAAAACAAAACCCCAGATCTTCCTCTGGAAAAATTACCTTGCATTAAGTTACCAAGTCATTCATCAGTGCAAACTGAGTAGCACCAGGCATTTGGTTAAATGAATGTTAAAATTTTAAGAGACTCAACTCCACCCACCAATACAAACTGAGAGGAAGACCCACAGGCTCTCAATTAGTTAGATATGAAATGAAATCTTGGCTCTGGAACTGCATCAGTTCATCAGAACACCAGCAAGATTTCATCCCTGAAGCCTCCACATCTATCAGATAAAAGCCTTTATTCGCAAGAGGAGAACAGGAGCAAAATGTATGTAAAAATCTGCATTTACAGTGTTCTGGATTACTCAGTTCACAGATCTCTCCTGCAGAGATCCATCTGTTCAGTTTCTCAATGAGTTATCAGAAAAAGCATTGGTTACAATGAACAGCAGGAGCTCCCAGAATAAAAATATGAAAAGCATCCACACAAGTTAAATGCAATGAATCTTTACGACTCTTATACCATATATGGTGATCTTTCCTCTTTTCTGAGGTTTGATATCCACCAGAGAAAGGCATGAATCAGAGTAGGTCCACCCAGTAGGTTTGAAAGCCAGAACTTGATCAAAATTCTCAGAAAACTTATTCAAGTGATCTTGCAAGCCCTGTGAAAAGAATATAGCGTACACTAAATCCTTAAATAGCTCAGTGGTCTAAAGGTTGGAGATCTCATGACTTCAGACTAAATTTTATTTTCATGTTTTTATATGAACTTTTTTATTTTAAATACCACTTGCCTTGAAATTATTAGTGATAAATATTTACATTTGCAGAGCACTTGTACCTCAGGATCATAATTGCTTCATCTGAAAAAGCACATATTAACAGCAATGCATTACAGATCAGAACACATAGGCATAATCACGTCCTCCGATAGATCTGGCCCCCTAAGTAGTTCATTTCCTCCTCTCAGCTGGAGGTCAGCACTTGTGCAGCTGAGTGGCAATAAAAGATGGTGAAAGCCAGCTTCAGTGCAAAATATTCTGGTTAATTTAAAGTGCCACTGACATCCTGACATCTGCTTACACCCAGAAGCGCTCAGAGTTCATTAAGCAAGCTACCCAAAAAAATTGCAGCAAGACAGTGTGTGAGTTTATTTATCTGAGCGCTAAACCATGTTTTACCATATCTCCATTCATGATAGGAAGGAAACCACCTCTCATTTCTTTGCTCTAAAAAATTTAACTTGAAAATATTCCCAAGTTGGCTAAGTTAGCCTTCAGTGTTGTTTAACTAAGACTGGGAAAAGGATGAAAGGGAAGTATAAAGAATGTACAATCCTATTCCTGGATGAAGTCAGTATTATTTCAAAGCAAAAATAGAAAAATCAATTTAACATGTCCCGTATAAAATCTTAAAGGCATATTCTCCATTTGAAAGCCCTACAAGATTACAGAACTCAAAATCATAGGCGTTTTATCATCAGAAAGGAATACAAAAAAACTGATTAAGAAAGGGGGGGAAAGAGGGATGGATAGACTGTGGCTGAACACTAACGAACCTGTCAGACCCTTGAATAAGAAGGGAAGCAGAAAGTTGCCTGTGACACTGCCACATTTAACAGCACTTTCAGTACAATGTCCAGTAGCAACATACTGAATCCATCAAACTGGGCACATTAAGAACAAGAAAAAACCCTACCACCACATGCTTCATTCCACAACAGAAACTGGCTAGCCACCATGACTCTGCAAACGTTCAGTCCTCACTAGATTAAAGATACAACTGTAGCAATCATTCTCCTTCGTACTTCATTTTAGAAAGATTAATATATTTTAAGGTAATTATTCATATCTTTGCTCTCCTTGCTTTGATTAAATGTAAATACAATTTCAAGTACAATGATTATGATATTAACCAATGCTAAACTCCTTTCAAATTTTGTTATAAATCAAGTGTGCAACATTCACATTAAGGATTCAATTCCAGTCTCACCAAAAAATATTTGTGCATTTCAATCATAGGCACTTTTGAAAATCTCACCTCGGTGCTAGTACCAGACATTAATGAGCTAAGAAGCATAGAAGAGGCACACAGACCTGAAGACCCCACTTCTCTGGAAGTCTTGAAGCCTCAAGTTTTGACTGTTACAAAAAAAATTATTTGTTCCAAAAGAACCATGCATGTATTTTAGAAAAGATGTCCTCTTTCCATAAAACAAATTACTACAGTGCTTGTTTATAACAAATCCACTTTAAATACACATTCCATTTTCTTTTTCTATTTCTTTAACCAACACGGCTCTAAATCTTCATCCTTTTAAAATGGAAAATATATTTCATTGCTAAATCAACCTCTTTCAATCACCATGACAGACTGTTACCTACAGTGTCGCTAAAGTCAGCAGTACAGGCAAACAGATTCCCGAAGGCAGGAGAAGACTCAAACATGATTAAAGAGTTAATTTACAATCAACCCCAACATCACTTAAGCTCATTTGGCTTATCCACGAACAGCTATTCACCAGTACACACAGCAATCCCTGTATTTTACTGAGTAAAACCAAGTACTGCAGTGAAGTACATCTATATAAAGTACACTGGCAATATTACAACAACTCACGTTTTATTTTATAAATATTTTTTTAAATCATACATAAAAATTATTTTTTAAAAATACGTAAATGTTATCCATTAAAAATATTCAGAACATTAATCTGAGTATGTCATCTCACTTTTGACCCAGCCAGCACCTGAAGGAAGATAGATACCAGCTCCTAATAAACAAACGTATTAAGAAAGCCAGACCCATAAATAGGAAAAAAACTAACAAACAAACAGAACTCCAACCAATCCAACAGCAATATGACACCACAAAAAACTTATTCCTCTGCCACTGTATTTTCGCTGCCTCTGAATTCCTGTGGTGATACCTGGCCAAGTATTCAACATAGGGCTGCTTTCATCCTAACTACAGATCGAGACAATCTATATGATTTTTAAAGCAGAAAAGATATCCTTTCTTCTCTAATTTGAACTTGTTTCTTCAACAGATTTTTGGGACAGTGACCCAACTCCTGATGCTGCAATAGAAAATTGCCCAGAATTCAATATTTAAATACATGTTTGAAGACAAAAAGTGATGGAAACATTCAAGCCATGTAGCACAGTTTCCCTCAGCCTAGCTGCATGCATACAGAAAGGCGCACGTCTTGACACAAGACAGCTCAAGCAGGAAAGGGACACACACCGTCCATTACTGTCACCAAATTTTTGGCCAAGTGAAAATCTAGGGTGTAGCACATATTCTGAGGATTCTGTGGGTTTACAAAAATCATCTTTCAACCTGTCAAAAAAACCCATTCACTGATCCACCTGTTTTTCGTAGTGGATTTAACACAATTATGGTCACTATTCATTTTTGTTTGCTTCAGTTCTAGGCAGAAGTACCAACATTAGTCTTTAGACTCGGGTAACTAGGGGAAAGACAGAGAGAAGCTACTGTACCTTTCTAAGCATCTGTGGTTTTTAGGTGAATGATGTTCTCTGATGAATCAATACAGTGTTTATAAATCATATACAAACAGCTAAGCTGATAGTTCACAAATAATAAAACAGCTGACTCCAAAATGAAAAAACATGCTTGATATTATTCCTGAAAATCAACACTGAGAAAAGCAGATTTCAGATAGCCTCAAAACTGGGATTAAACAGGTGGACAATGCCACCAAAAGGAAAAAATATTCACAACATAGAGATTTGTAAAAATACTAAAATTCATGAATATGCATTCAAATAAATATCAGTTTTATTAAAAAAAAAATCCCAACATTTTCCAGCACTCAATGATCAGGGAAAAAAAAAAACCCTGATCACAGCAGACAGCCAGTAAACAAGGAAGTACACACAGGAGCATCTCAAAACCATTAACTAATTTCCTTTCTGCTCCAGTAGAAATGAAAGCCATGCGCATCCAGCTTTAGTCTTGGGAGCAGTCAGCTAGGGAAGCACGGAAGGTTTCCTCAGGCAGGCACAGTTTTATCAAGTTACCACAAATGAGGCTTCAGCTGTGGTAAGCACACATAGCTTATGCACCTTTTTTTTTTGTTGTTCTTTAGAAGCAGACCAGAGAAGTTTTTCAGTAAGACAAGGTAAAAAAAAATCATGCATACAGTATGATAGAAGTATACACAGAAGTATCAAGCCTGGAGCACAGACAGGCTTGGGGTTTTGGTTTTTTTTTTTTTTTTTTTTTCTATTAGTGAACAGTGTAACAAGAAAAAAAGGGTATAAAAATAGGGCTTCTAGGAGATAGTATAACATACCATCAGGGTTTGGCTATTTGCATTCTACTAAAAACACAACTGATGCACAAGATCACAGATGTACTCAACTTACTAAATAAGAACTGAATTTGAGCTTTTGATTGAGAATACTCCCAGAAGAATTTCATGGATTTGTAGGTTCGCAGCTGAAACTACACAAGCAGGAAATTAGCCCAAATTAAGAAGCAGGATTGTGTTTCCGAGTGGGGCTAGGGATCAAACAAAACAGAAGAGGTAGGAGAGACACAGAAGCTAACGAAGGCATTGGCATTTAGTGATGAGGATCACTAAGAAATTACGGATTTCCCAAGAATAAGCCAGTAATTCAGGACAAAACCTGTATAATCCAGCACAAAACACACAACCGGAAATGATGGCATGAACTTTTACGTGGTCTGTAAAAACACAATTATATCAGTCAACATTCTTTAACTAGAATGAGATTACAAGTGATCAGATAACTTACTCTTAAAAATATTGTCTTTTCTGAGTGCATGTTCACTATGCTGCTGGAGCAGAAATAAGATAAATTGTCATATGAACTCATCTTTAAGCATTTAACATTCACTGCTGATACTACGTTCCACCTGGGCATTCACCTAGCTACTGGCCTCACTGGATGTCTAGCACTCTGGAAGGCTACCTGGCATGCCTCGCTTACATGGACACAAAATTACTGGTGACAGCATGAGACCACATTCCAACAACTCTACATGTGAAGTCAAAGCCCCAGTATGGAGGGCCACGGCTGTTACACCAGGACTCTTGTCCAAGAGATCACTGTGTCTTTAATCTTTCCTGGCCCTTTCCAGGGTCCAGGCATTGCTTCTGGCACGCTGGGGATTTTCCTAGAACCTCCTAATCTTCAGAGATGAGACCCTCCACATGATACAACTGCCCCTCTCAGAGAAATAAGGCTGTCTAGATACCCTTGTAGTATAATTACACCCTCTGCCTGAAAGTCCAGCTATGTCAGTACTCCATATGTTCTGGGACACTTGACAGAAGAATCACATAACAACACAAAAATCTGCAGAAGAAACTAAAAATATATTAGTGTTTAAGACAACACAACACATTAAAAATAAATCCGTACACGTTCCATTACTCATTTTCTGCCCCACCATGGAAAAGATTACAGAACAACATAAAACATTAAGATATTAAGTTCCATCTCCTGCAGCTCCCATTCAGATCATATAGCCTCTTTCTGTCCTTTTTAGGACAACTCTGACCTTGACTGGTCCTACAGCTAAATACCATCTTGCTCTGAAGGATTTGCTTGAGATGGCACAGCAGGCCTGAAACAAAGCAGAAAAATGAATCCAGGCCCATAAGGCCTAAGCAACCACTGTTTTGCTCTTTCTTCCAGATTACCCTTAATCTAGAGCCAGCTGCTTTGCCTCCATGCCATTTTGTATTTTGTAGTCTACTTAGAAAATTTTTCTTTCCCTCTAGGAATTAGTCACCTTTCCTAACTAAGAAATCCTTACAAAAACTCTCAACAACAAAAACTCACTGTCTCAAATCTCAACTGAAACATGCACTTGAAGCTAATTTAGATGAAATAATGTCTTAAAAGCCAACCGCATCCTGGGATGCATCAAAAGAAGCATGAGCAGCAGGTCAAAGGAGGCGATTCTCACCCTCTACTGCACTCTCATGAGACCCCACCTGCAGTGCTGCATCCAGCTCTGGAATCGTCAGCACAATGGCCTGTTTGGAGTGAGTCCAGAGGAGAGCCACAAACATGATCAGAGGGCTGGAGCACCTCCCATATGAAGACAGGCTGAGAGAGTTGGGGTTGTTCAGCCTGGAGAAGAGAACTTATAGCAGCCTTCCAGTACCCGAAGGGGGCCTACAGGAGAGATGGGGACGCACTTTTTATCAGGGAATGGAGTGAGAGGACAAGGGGTAATGGGTATAAGCTGAAAGAGGGTAGATATAGGTTAGATATTAGGAAGAATTTTTTTCCTGTGAGGGTGGTGAGGCAGTGGCCCAGGTTGCCCAGAGAAGCTGTGGATGCCCCATCCCTGAAGGGGTTCAAGTCCAGGCTGGATGAGGCTTTGAGCAACCCGATCTAGTGGAGGGTGTCCCTGCCCATGGCAGGGGGGTTGGAACTTGATGATCTTTACGGTCCCTTCCAACCCAAACCATTCCACGATTCTATGTTTCTATGAAAATAAACTGGTTTACTTGCTTTTGCTACAAATATTAGAGAAGACTGTGTGTGGAAAAACCAAAGCATGTGTATGAGGTGTCCTTCCATTCCCTCAATGTGTGTATCTGTTTATGTTTGAGTTTTCATTTTCAGGTATCCTTAATCCCCATGTATATCTTCAGCACAGGAGAGAGAATATTATTTTAAAAGATGAAAATATGATTATAAATATACGGAAATTGAACTGAAAGGAACATGGAGAACTCTATTCCTATCAAGCACCAGACTGGAAGTTGGCCATGTTCAAGGACTGTCTCAAAATAGAGACACTCACAGGCACAAAATCCTTTTAGTCTCTTCCCACATCATACTAGGTAAAAGACAGGCTGAAAACAGGGACTCCATGTCACAATTGCTAATAGCACAGATCCTGCAGTCATTACATACATCTACTTCAAAAAGGCCTGCAAAGAGCAAGCCTTTGAACAAACTTCATCATATCGTGTACAAGCACCGCCTTGAAGTGAAATTACACCTTCTGCACATCATGTTTGGAGACAGATATTAATGTTTAATTGCATTTCATTTTCAATGTATTGCTACATGTCAAAACTTTACCAAATAAATATGATCTGACAGGAGGTTAAAAGCACCAAACACCACACTAGTTGGGAGGAGCCAACAGCAAGATTAGCCAGCAGACTAATCACAGAGTATATTTTCTTAACTTACCTTAAAATTAATTTGCATCATGGGAAGAACGTGAAGCAAAGTACTGTCCCAGTCCACACTGATGAGGGAATCAACAGCTGCTGACTCCAAGCACTGCAGTGTTTTGTACTTATCGCGGGACACACTTGCTTTTGAGCCCAGAACTTCAGCAATTGCTTTAGGATTAATTGGGAAGAAATCAGATAAAGAAAATTATAAGAGTTCATTTTTTTTTTAATTCTTTTGGAGATATTGCTAATTGTTGCAGTGGATCATTTTTACTACTGAAAAAAAAAAAAAAAAACATATCCAGCAGGATACAGCGTTTCATATTGTAAAATTAAATTAAGACAAGAAACCTGTAATGGCCGTTAAAAAACTTTGGCTCCTACCTTTTAACACCAGAATTTGGTATGACAATTGGAAACAGAAAAACAGAAGTACAGTTATAAGTTCTAAGTCATATTTCTTTGGTATAATGTTACCAAGGTGAACCAGTATTTATTTCAAAGAAGCCAGAAACATGTGCAGTTTTTGGAATACATGACAAAAGGCCCACATTAAATACAGACTAAATTTCAGTGACAGTAAGTCTTGTATTGACGATGTGAAATATACTCAAAAGCACAAGCAGTACACAGCTGCCTGCTCTAGAGAACACATTTGGGCAATCAAGCTGGTTCCTAATGTTGTGACTGAGCAACGCATGTGACACAAGATTTTCATTAAGTCAGAAAAGAAGTGTTTTGGTTTGGGAAAAGCTTTGTTAAAATTGATTAATTAAAATTGATTACTATAAATATTTAGGAAAATAGGTAATATAAACCTGGAAGGAAAAACTGGTAGCAAAACAGAAGTTTAAGAATATTATATCCCTTTGCTCTTTCTTGACAACATGAGATTATTAACACCAAAAATGTCATAAAGACCTCATTTATGTTTTTTTAACTGCCATTAGCAATTTTCTCACCACAAACAATTAAATAGGTTAATTCATTTAGTATCGAAATTGGCCTTCTGTATATTCAGTGGGTTTGTAAACATGGTAGAAAAATATTTCTTCCAGATAGTTAACACTTATAACTAGAAAACTAAATCCTAGCAGTAGGATTATTAAATACATCTATTTACACAATATCTGACCATCGAGACAATACGACACTTTACATCTTCAAGAAAAACATCTTTTAACACTCAAGATATTTATTTAGTTATTTGATTCAGCACACTTCTTTTACATACCTAAAAATACTTTTTCTTTTCCAATGGAATAGGTGCCACAGACAACTAGAGTACGCGGGTTTAAAGTCACTGTCTCAAAGGCAGTATTGACAGCAAACTGGATAACCTCTTGTTGAGAAGGAAAAGTGTATTCAGGACTACAGTATCTGGGGCATGAAAACAAGATACATCACTTCATTACACAAGATAGAAGACATCTGAATTTACCAAGAAGGCCCTCAAAACTGCATGCATACAATAACAAAGTAATGAAGTTATTCTTCTGTGTAATAGAAATCTACTTGCAATCTATTTATTAGAAACCACTGAGGTGCCCAGATGAAACTGTTGCAATAAAATTTACTTTGAGCATATTGGTCTTTTCTCTACAACTATTCACTTGTCAGACACTGACACTCAATTCTGCAGTGTTTTTCTCTACAAGTACCAAGTGCTCTTTCAAGCAAGATATTTGTGTCACATACTAATTACATCCTTATGTCTATTTTGGTGATGCACATAAACCATAACATAAGGCATTATTCATTCAAGGAAACATATGGAACAGAAATAAAAGACTGCAGCTGGGCATTAGTCATCATACACAGAAAAACAATTTTATAAACATGAGTCAGAGAAAAGTCTAATGAAAACCTAGAGAACTGATTTAACCATTTGGCATTCTTTCACACTTTGAATTCCCCCACACCCTTTTTCATAATAGAGTTAAATTCCACATAAAACCAGTGTTCCATGAACCTCTTGTTTTAGAGATGAACACTCAATGCATGAATTTTAGCACCCAGAATTGAATACCACTTATAAATAGTAAGGCTGTCTCAGCAAATACTTTACCATCTTTTTCACTACCCACTTTTATTCTCTCATGTAACAGCATAACAGATGAACAAGCCAGACATACATGGACTTTCAACAAATATCTGATTTTATTCAACACTAAGTAGAGCTAACAAGTGTTAAAACAGTAATGTCAATTATACTTACATTTATTTGGTTCATATAAATTCATACTAAACTGAAAAGAGGGTTATATTGAAAAAAAAAAAAATAATCAAACACTACTTACGTGGTATCAAGGTAAAGGGTATGGACCTGTTGACCAACCAAAGCAGGGTAGCGCTCCATAGAGGGATCTGCCCTGAAGTCTCCTGTGTGCAGAATAACAGTTCCACTGGGTAGATAGAAAAGGATCATTGTTGCACCTGGACAACTGAAACAAACAAAAAACCCCATACAAATTATGTTCCTTCTCTATACCAATATACACACTATAAATATATATGTACTGTAGAAATTCATGATTTCTAAAGGAACTCCTGAGCTAACCTTATGGTCATATACTAGCTGGACTTGAGCTGGAGGGAAGAAAAAAAACACACCAACAATAAAGTAATCAAGCATTAATTGCCTTTTTGGGATGCTCTGTCTTCTAGGTATGACAAAGATACTGCCTCAGTTGCAATCTCTGCGGTCCTATTACTTGATTTGAAAGGGAAACAGCACACCAAAAGGAAGCAGCATTCTTAATCAGTAGCAACAGAGGTGTACGATTGCAGATGCACCTTCATTTCTGCAGGACTTACTGAAGCATTTTCTTTTAAATTCTATTTGCAGATTTTAAACATTATCCTCCATCCAGAATTCCCTGCTTATAAATACAATCCTCCTATTGGCTACAGCGAATCCACTGCACCTTCCGCAGTTCCTCACCAAAGCTGTCTGAAGGGCAAGTGCTCAGACTGGAAAACCAGAGTGGGACTATTTCAGGCATGAATCATCTGTAAAGGGTAAATGAAATCTCAGAAAATAAAAGATTTGGTGAACTCTCCAAGAAGTTGAACTTTTTACCCAAGGTTTATATGCCTTTTAAACTGAAGCAGCAGATCAGAGACACAAACAGGAAAAATGAGAAGTGTCCAAATTACATAAGCAACAAGGCTTCCTTCATTCCCAGAAAGGGTTCTCAAAGGACTTAATGGAATCTTATCTCTCCGACTATAAACAAATCCTAAGATAAGTAATATTCAAACCAGCTGTGACACAGTGCTGTGTTTCAATACATACTTCAGGGAAGGAACTTTTTCTCTAGCCCATAGCCAAATAAGGTACCAAGAAGTAGACCGGCAAGAGCACAGGGCTGGAAGTCAGGTGCTACTGAACTTTAGATCCAGCATTACCACACAGTGCCAGTGTAAAGTTGGACAAAAATCTCATCCTTTATCACCGAATCCAGCAGAAGTCTTGTCACACATTTCAACAGGCTTTTCTTTAAAGTTCGGTTTTCAAAATGCTGGCTAGGTTTTGTCTCTCCCGGGATCCAAAGTACCACATTTTTCTTTATGTGAAGATTTCACTATCTTCAGTTGAAGCTAAAGGAACCTAACATATCTGACGATCAAATTTAGGATGTTCCCAACTAGACACCAAAAACTAAAGTGTCCAGACCACCAGAAAAATTATTCAACCTCTCAACAAGCTTAAAAATTATGGAGCTATGCGTGGTTAACACTATGTACTCATTGCAACCAAAAAAAAAAAAAAAAAAAAAAAAGTTAAGCTAAAATTATCAAAAAAGCCTAAGTTTCATTTTCAAAAATAAATGACTATTTGAAAAGCTAACTACATGAAAGAAATTTAGGCTTCTACATGCCTAATTCACTTCTGAAGTGAAAATGCAAGTTACTAAGCCAAGTCTGGAATGTGAAGTATTTTCACCCTTATGTTTTCAGATCCACTGAAACCTAAAATTCATTAAAATATAAACGGTATCTGTACAGATATTTATCTTTAAATATTCCACAACAAATGCAATGATACATACTGATTGGCATCGAGCAACACCACTTTGATCCCATTCACTGTACATTCTGTGTCCATTGGCAGCACGTGGATGTACTCCTCTTTGACTCGAAGTTTGCTCTTCACCAGGTTCCCAGTTATCTGTAACAGGGAAAGGATTTAATATGGAATAGAAACAAAAATCTAAAAAAAGCTTTTGTTTATTTTAGAAACAAAGGCGCTCAAAGCCAGACTGTCTGGCTTAGTGAGAAACTATGAGATCCTGGGTATAATCAAGCCTTTCAGTAGCATTTTAGCTCTCAAAAAGCAAGCCGGAAAAAAGCTGTCTTTAAAAAGCTTTCTAAAAGTCTGTCAACAAGCTATGGATTGGAATCAGAGAGGAGGCAAACAAGGGGGAATAACATCTGTTACAGACTGCCAAGTCAAGAAGAGGAGGTGGGCAAAGCCTTTTTTAAACAACTGAAGAAATTTCTAGGTCACAGGCCCTGGATCTTATCACAGAGGACTGCAGTCACCCCAATACCAACTGGAAGTACAACAAGGGACACCAGCATTCCAGGAGACTTGGAAAGTAAATCAGAAATAGTTTTTTGATGCAGGTGCTGGATGGGTTACTAGGCAAGGTGCCCCACCATGTTATGAGTAAAGAGGAGTTCGTTGGGCATAGGATAGCTAATGGCAGTCTTGGCGATTCAGCAGCCTGAAGCACAGGACACAGAGAACCAGGCTAAAACACCTCCACATACATCATGTGGAGGAGAGATTGCTTAAATTGGATCTAATTTCAGACTTCCATCACTTGAATAGTTATAGAGAAGATGGAGACAGATTCTTCTCCATGATGCACACAAAAAGAACAAGCTTGAGTTGTAAAAAGGGACATTTCAATTCTGTATTTGGAAATAATTTCAGAGTGGGTAAGCACAGCAACAGGTTGCAAGGAGACATAGTGGAATCCATGCTGTTTTCAAAATTTGACCACCAAAGGCTCTCTGCAGTCTGTCTGGTCTAACATCAAAGTTAGATAGGCATTGTGGAAGAGATTGGACTATATGACCCGCAGAGATCCTTTTAAACCTGGATTTTTTCATGGTATCTAGACAGGGAAGTTTCACTATTCTTCTTCATCAGTCAAAGGAGGGTAAGAATTTCTTAGAAGGGAAACCCAGACTCCCCTGTACCTATCCACTGTGCTTAACCGACCCAACAATGGAACCTCTGATCTTCTATTTACTTTCATCAGTACAAAAGTGATTATAGTTGCATATGGATTTGATAAGATAAGGAAATAAGGAAAACCTTACCTTATTACAGTAGATTGGAAACATGAAGTTTTTTGTCAGCCCACAATAGTGATCAGAGTGAAAGTGAGTAAGGAAATAAGCTGTGCAGCCTTCAATTTCTCCATACTGGAAGGCATCAACTGTAAAACCAGTTCCTTCAGCAAAAAGGGAAGAGAAGCCAGTCAGTAAACATGCATAGTTCAGAACTAGTTTCTAATTAGATGTTCTTTTTGTTCTTTTTTATTTCTTTCAAATTAGAAGGTAAGACAGTTAAACTGCATACAACTGAAGGAGCCATGTAAGATGAGCATAGTTTGCGTGTGAGTCAATAGACACAAAGATTTTCTCTTGTTAAAAGAAAAATTTTAAGAAGTGTCCATACACAAATACCTTCACAGGCCTCCCAAACCTGTTGATCAGCTGCCATGCTACACAGATGGCAATTGGTTAAGCAAATAAAACACACTTATCTGCATTCAGCTGGTATTTTTGAAAGTTCATGTAGACTAAAATCTAACACCAACATCTTAACACAAAATAAAACAGGTAACATTTTGCAATAAAAGTGCAATTTTTCAAATATTCTACATTCAATATGCCTTCTAAACCATGCTTCTACACAATTAATAAGCAAGCAACCTGTGGTCTTTGAATATATATGCTGACATAAAATGTGACTGATACGCCATCGTATGCTTTCATTGAGGCGCCATTTATACAAAGATGTTGCATAAAAGATAGACATATAGAAGATAGCCCTGTTCTCTGCAAATGTATTTTTTTTTAAAATGCAAACACACTGACAAATGGTGCTTTCACATTGGGTTATACTTTCTTAAAACCACGAAATAGCGCATAGAACTAATTCATCTGGTGACACTCAAACATTTTTCATTTCATGTTACACAAATTTCCCAGATCTTCTAGGAGAACTAGAAATAGCTCTATTTACTTGAGGCGAGAACTTCAAGTATTTGCAACTCCAAAAAACCATAGCAGTCTCCTAATTAAAAAATGACAAACCAAAAAAATCCCCAAGTGTTTGAGAGGTACCAGACTCAAAATTTCAGGGAGGCTGAATTATACCAGGATGTGGGGATAAACACGTATCATTAGCAACACAGAAAATACAGTCAAATATACTTCAAATGTGGTAAAAAAATCCAGAACAAAGATAATACAGATAATAACAAAGCCACTTTAAAAATGCATTGTAGGCACAGGAGTCTGCTATTCAAATCTATTATATATGGAAAATCCTCTAAGCCCATGGAACCCATGAGACTGGTATAATCCCACAAAAACTTACAGGTCCATCTTCAAGCAGCAGCTTCGCACTTAGGATCGCCCATATATTTCTATTTGGCTTCCTCAAATATCCACCTGAGACTAAACAATTCTGTAGTGGTAAATGGAACTGTGAAGATCTGAAGCTTTTTAAGAGTCTGATCCATCATCAGAGTCTTAAATTTATGGAATTGCTTGAGGAGATTCTGAGGAATACTTGGCTCAAACTAAACTCTTCTGCTTGATTTTCACTTCTTTGTTTTCACAGTTGTAGTAAATCATATTTCTAATACTATTGAATTTTAAATACAAAATTAAATTCAATTCTTTAACTTGGTGTATGGAAAAAATTGCTGTTGACAGTCCTATTTTCAGGCACAACTAAAGCGATGTCAAAGATTAAATTCAGGAATCAGGAGTGAATATTAACAAGTGATATATTCAAAATCATTTAAGAAAGTAGATCCATCTTTCAATACTGCTTATATTTTTTACTCTGTCAAAAATACTCAGAAGTCAGTCCTTGAAATAATTTTCCTGACAACTACTTCACTATTTTCAGCCATTGCTAACTCTGCAATTGGTTCTGCAATCACCTGCTTTTGGAGATCCGCACCTACACAACATTTTATCAACTTACATGGAAGAAAGAAAATTGATAATGAGCTGCAGCCTAAATGGTTATGAAGAGAGAAGAATACTGAAGCCTAAAATTAGGAAAAAAAACACAACAATCAAGCCAAAATTTGTTAACCTCTATAAAAAGCAACAGTTACCTCTCACCTGGTATTTTCTTGTAGAAAGGGCAGTGTTTTTTGCTTGTTACTTCACCTGGAGAAGGTAATTCTTTAAATTTTTTTCTCCACCTTCGTTGGCCACCAGAACTTATATCTGCAAAGGCTCCATTTTTACTTGAACTTTCTGTAACTGCTTCTGCATCTTCCACAGACCCTCCAGCTTTCCTTTTTTGCTGTCTGGACCTTTTTCCATTAGGAGTTACTGAACTTGATATCTGCTTTCCCTCACTCAAAGGCATCTCTCCTTTGCTTTCCTCTTTTACTTTGGGTTTTAACCCAAAGAAAACACCAATGTCCATTTGTTTGAGTTCTCTGGCAGAACTAGATTTGGTATTCATACTTGCTAAAGAAGGAGATGGTACTGTTTTGGAGATGGGGCTGGGAAAGCACAGTGCAGCTGTATTAAGATTTCCTTCTTTCTCCACTACTGACTGCAAACTCTCCTGGCGAGCTGTTCCTTCAATTGCATTGGAAGTCATTTTATCTCTATCAGTTAAAATGTTACCTGGGTCCCTCAAAACCTTATTTTTCTGTGCTAGAAGTGAACCAGCATCTTCTCTGACTAGCAGTGATGATGTCTCTGTAAAACTCACATATGCAGAATCCAAAGCACAAGCACCAGTATCTTCTGCCTCTGCAGCAGCTGAGGAAATCAATCCTGACTGTTCAACCTCCTCGCAATTAAAAGGTAAAGAGGATGCCCTGGCTAGCACCTCTTGCTGATGCTGATTACTTACACATGTTGAATTACAGAACTTTCTGTTCATGTGACTCTGAGAAACAGGTTTTATGTTATCATCTGGATGGTTCAATGTATTCACTTTGTCACAGTCTTTTTTTTTAATTACAAAATTTCCCATTTTGGTATGCTCACACTGAGGTTTCTGCTGTAAGAGAAGTCCATCAAATGTTTGAAATGCCACAGAATTAGATTCTGCATCTTCAAAGTTCCAGACTTTAAATAATTTATTTTGAGATATTTTTAGTTTCTTCTCCTCTTCCTCAGTTTCCTCTTCACTCTCCTCAAAAGTACTCAGTGGAGAATAAGAAATTTCACAGTCACTGAAGTCCGCTTTTGACTTTAGTAGACTTGGCTGATTTGTATCTTTCTGACTACACAGATCTCCTCTTGTTACATTTTCTTGAGAGGATGCAAAGTCATAAAATTCAAATTTACAACTACTATCTGTGGTCTGTGTGAGATGAAATGTCTGTTGAGGCTTTTGAACACCTGGAAAAGAGGAAGTTCTTTCACTGATTAGAGACTTCATTTGTGATGAAGTCTGTACCATCAACGTACAGTCATCATTTGGGATATTTTTTACATTATTAGATGTCTTATCATTCTGTGACATTTCCTCTACATGATTTGGGGAACAGTTGGGCTTTGCAGCAGAACATGTCATCTTCCCCTCCAAAGTGTTTGGTGAAGAGTTTACAAGATAATCTCCTGCCCTGCTTGCTGCAAGTAGAAAATGGCTGTAGCGCTTGTAGTGGGATGGAATAGTGGAAGTGCACAGTAAACCATCAGGACACTCTATGAAAACAGTTGAACAGAGAAGTACTGTTAATACTTTGCAAATATAATTGTCATAATTATTAAAATAAAACACATGACATGCAATTTAATAGCTTTTTCTTATAAATGCAGCTATTGAAGGACAGAAGGCACAAGTGAAAAGTAATTTTCAAGTTGCCAAGACCTCCTGCCCTGAGCTGGCTAGAAATGAGAATGTTTCCAACCTAAAACCACACAGCTGACGCTAATACAGCACTATGCCTGAATTAATACAGCCCTCTAACAACTAGAGTACTTAACCCTGTTTCAGTGCTATGTTAATATAATGATATGGCTTCTACTTTAGATTTGTCTCATGTACAAGCAATGAGCTCAGAGCAATAGCACTAGAGAAGGCCAACAGACACGTTTGTTTCAAAACAAACCAAATCTCGGTTCTGAATCAATCCGAAATTCCATTTCAAAATGCCTGCTGCGTTACACATTAATTTAAAAAAAAAAAAAAATGACGTATTTACTTACGTGAAAAAAATATTCAGGAGTCAGATGCCAGCAAAAAGAATCCATGGCTATTCTCTAAACTTTTTTTTGTTGAGTTTGCTAGCTTAATTATACATAAATCTATCAGAAGACTTTTTCATCTGTTAACTATGGGAGTAAGAGATGAAAATGAGTTGCTAATGCATCTGTCTTAAATTAAAACAACTGCCAAAATCAGAATTAACTGGCTCACATTCCACTGTTCCAAACACAAAACTTCAGTGAGTTACAAAAATGTAGAGGAAAGTGACTGTGTTACTCAAAGCAGCCTTTAATCAAGTTTCCTGACTGCCTACTTTCTGTTTTTCAAAAGTTATGGGTGTATTAAGAACATAAGTTGGATTCCTGGATCTGTTCAGACATAGTATTTCTCCACATGAAACTAGCAATTTGAATGAATCAGTTTTATCCCTCTTGTAAAGAACTCAAAAGAAAACTGTGTTATGATACAGAAAAAGCATACTGGCTCAAGGACTAATATTTCAAGTAAATTAGTCTAACAGACTGATTTTGGCTTCCAAGTGTCCATTGCCAACTGGACAAGCCACACAGCAACATGGATAAAAGATAATAAAACTTATACCTACGAAGAAAGAAATTCGGTGTCAGAACTGGCAGTCTCTTAATTGAAGGAGGTATTTTTTGCTGACACTGACTTTGTAATTGAAACAGCTTCCATTATTTTAAAATAGTAAATATGCACCTTCCATTTCTTCAATAAACTACTAAAACTGAAGCTTGATAAACAACCGTGAATCTTTATCATTGCTCTATGAAGTTTTGAGATTAGATTCTGATACAAGACTTTCATGTCAGATTTCCATGTTCCTCACAAAGAACCACAAACCTCATACAAAAAAATAATACTAATAAATGACCAGTAACAACATTCTAAAAATCATACTAATTACCATCTCAGATTTCTGAACTAAATACAAAAACCAAAGTTATAACAACGTTATGCGAGGAACCTTTAAAGCCTCTGAAGGCTTTTTTCTTACTCTGATCATACCTTTTTCAATGGATCCTGGGGCATCCAAGCATTCAGCTACATGCCATCGAGGCGTCTGGACCAACAGTAAAGAGAAGGGCATCTGGCAGCTTGGACAGTATCCTTCATGAACAGGCTTCCCATTTTCTAAGCTTTGTTCTGTCAGGCTACTCACACTTTCCTGCGAGTGCACACTACTGTCATCTTTACATTGATCTACATCTTGGTTTGGCCTTGACCTCTGCTCAGTCTTCTGAAGGGTATCAGTTTTGTCTACGGATTTTTTTTTATTTCTGTTTCTCTTGCTCTTTGGCCTGCACCTGCCATCACTCACTTTCTGCACGGGTGTAGAGATGCTCTCTGAATTACCCTGATGCTTTTTCTTCCTAATGGATTTGTACTCCCAAATGTCCTCTTCCAATAAAGCATCTTCAGACATGGCAACACATTAAATATTCTCTTTTCTTTTAAGCAACAGTTCACAAATGTACCTTTCCTTCCGCTAATACGTCTTCTCTTCCTTCCCTCCTTCACCACCTGAAGAAAAGCACCTGAACTCCATTTTAAAAAAGCAACAGTGGGCCACAAAGCAAACAGCAGTCCGTGTTGGGACAGAAGCATGGTGGATCCTATCCTAAAAATAACTTAATGAGCGAGTCTGGACGATGCAGAAAGACTTGCAGGGTCAGCCATTTCCTTCAGCTATCCCTCTGCCAGCACCCAACCCGGCCTCGGAAGGTGAAGCCCAGCTAGCCCCGCTCCCCCGACTGCCACCTCGCTGCCCCGAAGCAGGACGATTTTAAAAGAAAAGGACGGAGAGTTCAGCTACCCTGCCGGGAGTCACCACACGGCGAAGGCCGACACCGCCACGGCG